ACCCCATGAGGCCGCGCGCGCCCCCACAGGTCGCAGCTGCGCGCGGGGCGGGAGCCCGACACCGTGGACGCCCGCCTGCCGCAGTCGTGAGGAGACCCGCTCTGCACCCCGTCCTGGAGGAGAGCCTGGCCTCCTACTTGGTTCCTGTGACTTCCCTGAGGAGTCTTAGCCCCCAGGCGCTGGGCTTCGTCATGCTTTGCCCTAAACTGCCGAGTTCAGGACCAAAAGAATTGCAAACGGCCACAGGGTTTTCGGAACGTGCAGGCGGGATGCAGGGTGAGCAAACTGGGGCGGAGGAGCCTTACAGGAGCAAGCTGCAGCTGGCCACTCTGCAAACTCGCTATTATTGTTCCCTTGGGGACGTTCGCTACTTGGATCGCTGTTATCTTCGCCCAGTTTACTTATTAAGGACTCCTGGAGCCGCTTGCGAGTGGAAATCATTTAGGGCGTTCTTGCAAAAGCTTCCTGCAGGCACTGGCCCAAACCCAATTCATTTAAGTACCAAAGTGACACTGTTAATTTATTATTTCCATTACCACATCCGTGGAGTCTAGGACTAAGATCCTGAAAATTGTCTGCCTTAAAAGGACGAGCCTGTGTCTCTCATCCCGGAACCGGATCAGATCTTAAATTTAAACATGATCTCCAGCTTAAAGGTGGGAGAAGAAAACTCGAATTTCCGTGTGACCTAAATGTTGTGCAGGGCCAAGGATCCTGAGACCCCTTTGGGCATCATCTGGTGCCTCTGCCTCCCCTGATTCTCACCGCAACTCCTGCTCCAGCCCAGCAAGCTCCTAGCCTTAGCCTTCTTTTCCTCTAAACTCTTTTTTACCCCCATCAGCTGCTGGCTCTACCAGGTTGCTCCAGCCCTCCCGCCAACAAGACCCTCCACTTCACCTCCCTGGTTTCAGCCCTCTTCATCTCTCACCCGCACTGCTGGTACCTACCCCCTTCCCTCTTTCCCACGAAGGCAACACACTGCCAAGGTGCGGCTCTGCCTTGAATCAGCAGATTTGTTCCATCCAGTCTGAGACCTCACACTGCTTCTAAACTCTCTCCCTGCACAGATTCTGCTTTGGGCCACAATGGAGCTGTTTTGTGCTGTGCTGTGTCTTGGCATGTCCTCCAGAAAGCTCCAGGACTCTTTCTGGGTCCTGTATTCTCTACAGCAACACTTTTGAAACTTAAAGAGCAGCAGTTCTGGGGAGGGGGTCCCAGCATCAATCCCAAATGCTGCTGCCGCTGGCATCACACACCTTGAGAAGTGAGGTTCTGTGGAGTTTAAATAGTCATTTGTGTGATCAAGAGACATGGGGTGCCTGTTGCACCAAGGACTGTGTTAAAGCCTGCGTGGACAAATTCAGTAAGACATGGTCGTTGCACTCAAGGGCACACCATAGCCCCCTGGTGAGATAAAAACAACACTATCCCAGGTAGCAAGTGCTGCAGTAAAGGGATGTTCATCTCCCCTTTAATTCTGTGTGAGCAGAAGCATTTTTAAAACAGAGCGATGTAGGGCTGGAGAGATGGCTCAGTGGTTAAGTGCACTGGCTGTTCTTCCAGAGGTCCAGGATTCAGTTCCAGGCGTGTATAAGGTGGCTTTTAACCATCTGAAACTCCAGTTCCAGGAGATATGACTCCCTCTTCTGGCCTCCTCAAGCATTGCATACACAAGGTACACATTCTACATGTAGACAAACACTTATACACATAAAATAATCACTTTCTTTTCTTTTTAAAAATGAACAATGGTTTCATATACAAAAAGCAGTTTAAAAGAAAAAAAAGACAATTCAAGCCACCTGGTCAAATTTTAGGAGCCTCCCATTGCTTGGGAAGTTCGGGAAAAATGAATTCGGAAGACTAGCTGAATGCTCTTCAAGCCAACAGCAACAGCGTGGACTTGACCATGCTCACTCCATTTACTCAGCAGTGAAATTTGCCCACATTTACCCAGAGCTAAGGATCAGATCTGAATCCACAGTCTCGCACCGATGCAAGAGTGCCCTGCCACTGAGCTGTTCCTCAGGCCTGGAATTCACTCTCTGTTGCATGCACGGGAAATATGGACATGGAGCCAAGTGTGAAGTGCTGGGTGAAAGCAGAGGCAGGCAGAGGCAGGCAGAGGCAGGCAGAGGCAGGCAGAGGCAGGCAGGGGCAGGCAGGGGCAGGCAGGGGCAGGCAGGGGCAGGCAGAGGCAGGCAGGGGCAGGCAGAGGCAGGCGGGGTCTCTCACAGAACCCTGAGAAGAGCTGTGGGAGGGAACCCAGCAGACACACACCTGGAGCTGAGTACTGTCATGTGGAACCCAGGAGCTGAGAGCGAACAGCTGCGTCTGCTCGGTGACACCAGGTGGCTGGTACCTGCCATACTCCCAGGCATCCCCACCCCCTTTTAAAAATACATTTTATCATTTAAAAAAAAAAAAACTTCCAGATAAATAAAAGCATCGCATACCAAAATTAACCAGACTCTAAGTCATACAACTAAGAGAACATCTATATGGTTAGAATTGGCATTCAAAACGGAAGCTGTGGAGCTTCCAATTAAGTTTTATGCATTCAATCTTGAATGTGTTTCATGCACTTATCCACCAGCAGACAAAGAGTCCACAAAGAATTAGAAGTAGAAAAACAGTTAGCTTTGCATCCTTTTCCGTGACTTGTGTCCATTACATGTAGTCCTTCCTTGTCCCCTTATGATTAGCTTTTCTAAAAGTGCATACATTTAATATAGTCTAAATATTATATAATACAGTGTAAGCAGAAGAAAAGAGGACTCCTCATCCCTCGCATCGTTGCTGTACCTTAACTTGACTTCAGATTCCCTATTTGTTGATATGCTTAAGAGTTTTGTTACCACAAGGCAGAAATCCAGTTCAAACTAGATTAATGCCTTTTACTGTCTGGCTGAGAAGACTCTAGAGTAACTCACGGGGAAGAAGTCGAAGCTACAAGAGGCGTTTGCCTGGCATTGGGCAGTCGGCGTTTGCCTGGCCATGGGCAGTCGGCTCCTCGCTGATTTATTTCTGCTTGTCTTCGCTTCTCTGCTTACCAGCATCTTGCTTTTCGACCTCAGGCTGGTTTCTTTCTCATATAGGTGCCAGTGGCCCTAGGCAGCCATCAGCTTGCACCCTGAGGCCATCTTCTTAGCTTGCAGAAGGGAATTCCATGGGGCATCGCTAAGTGTGCGTGCGTGTGTCTGTGTGTGTGTGTGTGTCTGTGTGTCTGTGTGTGTCTGTGTGTGTCTGTGTCTGTGTGTCTGTGGTTAAGGGACAGAATGCATCCATGGCTCAGGCCAGCATGCATAGTCTAAGGCAAATGTATGCTGTGCTTTGGATTATGAACATCCTCCAAGGATAGATGTGTTAAACTATGAATGGTAGAGTGTACTGATATCCCCCCAGCACCTAGGAAATGGATGAAGGGGAATCATCAGGGGCTCAGGGTCATCTTTGGTTTATCAGTGAAGATTTCTATTGCTGTAACAAAGCACCATGACCAGGTGACTTATAAAAGAAAGCATTTAGTTAGGATCGCAGTTACAGAGGGTTAGAACCCATGACATGGAATAAAGGCATGGTGGCAGGAATAGCTGAGAGCCACATCTCACAGATCAGCCAGCAGGAGGCAGGACACCGGGGGGTGGTGAGAGGCTTTTGAAACCTCAAAGCCCACCCCTAGTGACACACTTTTCCAACAAGGCCACACCTCCTGATCAATGGGGGTGGGTAGTGGGAACCAAGCATTCAAGCATTTGAGCCTATTATGGGGCCCATCCTCACGCAGACCACCACACTTAGCTATGTAGAAAGCTTAAAGCCAGCTTGGCTGGGCTACAGGAGACTGTCTAAGAAAAAAAAAAACAACAAGAACAAAAAGAGGAGAGAGAGAAAGAGGAGGGGGAGGGAGAGATTGTAAAGGCTTGGTTCCTGAGGTGATGTTATCGGGAGGTAGTATAGCCTGCAGGAGGGAGGGCCTTGTGGGAGGTGCTTAGGCGATTAGGGTCCATCCTCTGTGTTTGCTTTTGCCTCACACACCCACCTTAATGTGTTACCACACCTCAGGCTCAAATCAATGGGGCTTGAGCTTCCAAAACTGCAGCCCCAAGTAAACCTTTTTTCTTTGTAACTTGATTGTCTCAGGCATTTTGTTATGAGGACAAAAAGCTGACTAACATAATGTCCTACCCAAACTTCCCCAAATGGGCACTTTCCCAGAGGAGTGGGGAGGTGGAGAGGTGTGGGTGCCCTCTATAACTTGGGGTGGATGGGTAGATTGGGGGGTTTTGCACAGCCTTCAGTAATGAGGGTCATAGAGAATTGATTTATTCTCCACGCATTATAGGACGCTGTGTGATGCCTTCTGTGTGTGACATTTATTATTTGGCTTCATTATTTGGCTTTTGACCACTTACTCTATAACAGTGGCAAGAAATTTGAAATCTTCCATTCTGATTACAGCCCACACCCAAATTCCCATCTCACATGAGGAAGATTCTGTGTCCACTTTAACCAGCGTGATATTGAATCTTACATGACGAATCAATCAGAAGCCCTCCTGTGAGGTCTGTAACAAGGAGTTAAAATCTTTGCAGCCTGGCCTGACATGGCTTCCACAGCTGAGCGGGCTTCCCAGGAGACCCGTCCTTAAGGCACCCGGAAGGTGTCGGCCAGCACTGTCTTTCCTTGTGCTCCACGTTAAATAGCACCCGTGGCTTACTCTGCCTGGTTTGAGGGAAGCAGAAACTGTGAGCCAAGAGACGCCCTTTCTTCTGAGGTTGGTAAATGCTGGTGCCTTCACGTTGGCTGTGTCTTTTTTTATTTTGCAATCAGAAAAACGGATAGCACAGGGGCAGCTTGACACGAGGAAACGGAGCGTCCTGTGGATGCGATGTTTGGCTTGTATCAGGGAACTTCAG